AAATATTCATATTTTTTTATAAGGTTGTAAAAAAAAAAAAAAAAAAAAAAAAAAAAAAAAAAAAAAAATATATATATATATATATATATATATATATATATATATATATATACATATATATATATATATATATATATATATATATATATATTTGTCCACATTAATTTTTTAGTGTTTAGTGTTCTCTTTCTTCTCTTGTCAATGTAACTAGGTCTAATTAAAATAGCAGGTTAGTGTTTTAAAGGAATGAAATGGGAGCAGGTAAAAGACATGGGTTTTAAAGCATCCAAACTGCACTTTAACAGAACATTGATAAACAAGGCACCTTTCATATAGCAACCTAATTTCCGTGAATCCTCAGCAGCTCTTGTGCAGAGCCAAGCACTAACAAACAGCTCGAAATCCCTCAGCTAGCAAAGAATTAGTTCATGAGATCTTCTCGTAAACAAACATCTGGGGAGGTTGGAGGAGATTGTTGTCACTTGACCAATCTCACATCCACTCAAAGTTTATTTATTTATTTATTTATTTATTTATTTATTATTTTTGCTGTTGTTGCAAAACATAATAAAGGCATTAAAAGTAAAACAGCATTCCCTGTTTTAACCTCACACTTTCACTTTATGGTGATTGAAGCTCATTTAAAATGAGGGCAAATACTGGTTTTATGAGCACATTAACATCAAAAATGCACTCTATAAAAGCACTGAACACAGCAGAGTTTGCAGACTTCTATGGTGGAGATGGAACATAAAGCATCTGCCAAGCACTTCCTGAACGCAAAGGCTGTACCCTCAGTAGCCAAGGACCGGTGGTCCCTTAAGCACTGAAAGTTCTTCAGTTTTACAACACACAGACCAGACCAACAAAATGCTTTATAAGACTGACAAAAAACGGTGCATGGCGCTTGCAGACATTATTTTCCAATTCTTACAGACTACTTTAGTATTCAACATGGGATGAAGTCCCAGTGCTTAGGCCTCCTGTAGTATTTAACAGTCTCGGTCTCCCTATGCAAACACGTAACAGCATTTAAGACAGCGCAGGACCTCAAACTAACACAGCTGGGCTCAAACGAGTGAAACATTAGAGCTCACCACCAACTCAGACAAGCATGTAATGGACAACAGAGCATTACATGCAGCCTCTGACTCACACATCTCACAGCATTTCCGAGAAACCTCAGAATGTAAAATAAGGTTTGAATGCATTGCGTCCTACGGCGGTTAAAACATATTTTCCACCTCTGATCAAGCATTTAGTATTCCAACAGAAAGGTTTAGATTATTTTAGATTATTTTGCTGCCAAAGTTGCAGTTTTAAAGAGTTTAACTTCAAAGTAGAGAATCAAAGTCAATATGATTTTATTCCTCATAATTAACCTTCTTACCCTCATTTAAGATTTCTGAAAGAGAACGATCTTAAGTTACCTTGTACAAATCTTCAAAATAAACTCAAATAAAAGAAGTTTATGGTATATAGCTTATATACCATAAACCATATATGACCCTAACATATTATATAGATATGAGAAAAATATATGTCTGTACTAAAAAAATAAGTTGTAAAATTATATCTTTCAGGGTAGCAGTGTGTTGAAGTAGCTTTGTACTTTCATTGAGATTTTTTTTCTCTTTTACAAACTTTTATTTCTGCCTTTTTGGAGGAAAATAGCTTTTTTGGGCAACTCGTCCTTCTTGTTTGGATACTGTGTAGTTGGGCAGATTTTGCACAATATTTTTTATAATTTTACTATTTTGCCACAATACATAACCATAGCAACATAGTGGTTTACAACAGGAAGTAGCTGATTAACATGGGAAAAGCTGAAATAATATCCCAACTGAAGTGAGAAATCCTAGAGATGTTGAAAAGGAGGCATTGTTGATGCAGAGCAGGAGCAAAGAGAAGAGAGAGAAGGAGGAATTTCAAGCCATCTCTACCATCCATCGTAATGGTCAATGTGAGATCATTAAGGAATGCAGTATTATAGAGTGTTATGGAGACATGGCTGCAGGATTATATCCCGACTCCAACATCTACACTGCCAATGTTTCACCAGTTTGCCAGCTGCTCCACCAGGGAAAACAAGACTTTAGATTTGTTTTATATTAATATCAAGGATGCATACGTCTCCAAGCCAAGACCTCCTGTGGGGAAATCGGACCATAATCTTGTTTTTCTTTCCTCTGAATATGAACCCCTTGTTAAGAGAGTACCTGTTAATAAGATGACTGCAGAAAGTTGTCACAGGAAGCAGAAGAGGCCCGCCAGCCTTGTTTTGAAGCAAGTGATTGGACTACTCTCTGCTAGCCACATGGAGATCAGTGCCATGACTGACTGTGTGACTGATTATATTAACTTCTGTGTGGACAGCAGAATCCCCACCAGAACAGTGAGATGCTTCCCGAATAACAAACCGTGGACCACCAGTGACCTAAAGGAACTTCTAAACAAGAAAAAGGGCCTTTAGGGAACAAGACAGAGTTATTGAGGAGTATACAGAAGCAGCTCAAAGTCAAGATTAGAGACAGCAAGGAGAAGTACAGGAAGAAGCTGGAGAACAAACTGCAGAGGAACAATATCAGAGATGTGTGGTCAGGGATAAAGAAGATTACACGCTTCAAACAGAAGAGGATCAGATTAGATGGAAGTCTAGACAGAGCAAATGAGCTGAACACATTCTTCAACAGGTTCAGTTCAGGAACAAGCTCATCATCATCATCATCATCATCATCATCATCATCATCATCATCATCATCATCATCATCATAATACGTTCCCAACCACACAGACATATATATGTATGTATATATATATATATATGTGTGTGTGTGTGTGTGTGTGTGTGTGTGTGTGTGAAACATTCAAACTGAAATTTTGCTTAAAAGTAAAGTGTGTTTAATCCCCTATAAATTATATCCAAACCTATAATGAGAGTGTGTAAAGTTTTGGTTAGACAAGCACAATTTCTGGAAGCCGTGCAAAATGCAAAACCACTGAATAGTGCCACTAGGACCTGGGTGTGTTTAAGAAACAAATACCAAAATGTCCTGGATTGTGTTTTTCCTTCTCCTGTCAACATAAATCTCTCTATATTTTTCATTTTCTTAGATACTGTCCTACCAGTCACACGTGGGTGTCTAGAGCAGGGCAGTACCAATCCACATATCAGCAAACTACAGCCTTACAGGCGCTCAATTAGGGATACACAGACAAGAATTTTTAAAAATCCAATCACTGTTTTGTGATAATCTTATGCTCATTGATATTGTGATAGCACTGCAGGCTGCACAGACAACTTACGAACTCACGTTGTTTTCCAAAATCAACAACACATTGCAAACAGATTGCTACCTTGAAAAAAAAAATCCATCACACCTATGTAATATATTTCTTTCCTGACAGCAACTCAGCGAGAAATTAGATTTTTTTATGGTTTTCTTCAGATTTTGCATAAACAATCATACTTAACATTCTTACTGCTTGTTAAGTTAAAGAAACAACTTGCAATAGAAAGGCATCTCGTCTTAACTATCCAACACATTCCTTTACTACTGTCTCTGCTAAATTGTCAGCATTTTACAAATGAATAAATGTTTAGCTGAAGTTTATCTACTTCTTAAATATATTTTGACAGTATAAATTGTATAACTATTTACAATTATTTTTAATTATTAGCAGCAGGGAAAGGAAAACAGAAGTACCATAAGTGTCAGTTTTTATGTTTACCAGGTCTCAATAGACAATCCCACATTAGAAGTACCACATAAAATATTAACTTGTTTCAAAAGTGTTTGACAAAAAATAAAGCTAAGTAAGTGATGAAAAAAAAATTGTATTTAAAATAAATTTTGCCAGAGTTAAGTGTTAATACTGTATATATATATATATATATATATATATATATATATATATATATATATATATATATATATATATATATATATATATAACTTTTTAATTTATTTTGATGCAGGATCAAAGTGTGACATTATTTTAATCTTTATGCGATGAGTTGAATGAGAGAGTGTGGTTCTCTAAGTTAACAGGTATATCTTTTTCCCCCCTTGGTCGTTTAGAAACCGTAAACTGAGAATTAAAGATTTTGTTAGTAGTCTTAACTGTAGAGACTGATCAGATTCTCTCAGGACAAATAAGAGGAGAACAGAAAAATGTGTACCCTGCACATGGTCCAACAGCCAGAGACCACTGTGACATGGTGCAGTATCGACTACGACTTTCTAATTGAATGGTAAATGGTAAATGGACTGAACTTATATACCACTTTTCCAGTCATTTTGACCACTCAAAGCGCTTTATACTAGAGTCACATTCACCCATTCGCACTCACAAACGCTCACACATTTATACACTGATACACAGATCGGTAGGCAATTTGAAGATCATCTATCCAAATCTGGTCATTTGACAGCCGTATATGAAGTTATCTGTGAGCAGCTAATATCTGACCCAAATATGTCCTTTCTGGGTAAAAAAAAAAAGTACAATTCCCTTTTTAAAGCACTCTAATCATTACATGGAGGAGAGTCTGCAGTGGAACCTGACCATATCTGCATCATCAGCAACACAAAGGTCCAAAACACAGCAGCAACTGAATGAAAGGAAACACATCAAGGTATTGAATTGTCCTGTTAAAGTCTAATCCCTCACTTTGGTTGGACTTTAAAAATGCTGTTCCTACATATATGCCCACAAACTTCAAAGAAAATACAACTATATTTTTTGTATAAAAAATACATAGCCTGTTTCAGGTTCTTATTACTTGAAATGGTTCTGTAAAGCAATGAGTCACTGAGTGCATTATGTACTTTCATATTTTGACTTAGTTTTTTTGTTGTTTTTTTAATTAAAATTTGATCAGTGCAATTATGTCATGTTTTATTCCTGCTCTGAGAGCGTATTTATCTTTGCCTTTTTGGTAAAAAGGACAAGCATATTTTTATTATGTACTGCTACATAAAAAATGAAAGAGTGCACTTTTTACCACGACAGTAAATATTTACTTAAAAATAAGTAAATAAGTAATATCAAAACACTAAAACTCAGTCATTACTTCATTGGAAATGTCTGGAAAGAAATTAAAATGAACAAAGTCTCTGATCATTAGGAAGTGTGCACAAGTTTTTTTACTGTTTACAGTGTTTTGTGTGACATATATTGTGTTGAACATTTTTAAAAGGAAGATTTCCTTTTAAAAATATTAAACAAGATTCTTACTTTTGCAATTAATGTTTGAGTTTAAAAAAAACATGAGAGGGAAACACTTTTTAAAACTAATGTTCTGTTGAATCATAACAGTTTGTTTAATTTGTGTCTTTAGTATCTTTATTTCCTTTTGGTAGCTGATTTCAGACTTTGTTGTTATCCACATCAGCTTACATTTCTATTATCTATTTTGTATTTCCGGTAATGCATTAAGCATATCATGTGACTGTATATATTGAAATAAAAATGGATATTTTTTAATGTAGTGACTTTATAAAGCAAAGTAATATATATATATATATATATATATATATATATATATATATATATATATATATATATATATATATATATATATATATATATATATATATATATAAAATCTCCCATGCCATCCCTCCACCCGTATAAAAAGAAAAAGCATATTATTAAAAGAAAATGTGAAATATCGGAATATCATCTGTGATGTCGTTCCCGAGGTATTTAAAAACTATATAATGATATATTTTTTTACTATATCCCCCAACCCTATATGTATATTATATTTGTTTATCAAACTGTACAATTCTCAGAGTGGCTCATGTTTAACACTTAGTCAAAGTCTGCTTAAACATTTCCCAAGGTGGCACTGAAGTCTGTTGATAAATAGCAAATAGAGGAGGTCTTGATTTTTAGTCATCTTGTAAATATTGTGCGTGTTAACATAAATAATCCATCAGCTGTACTCCATAAATCAATTGGAACTTGGTGGTGCTGACTATGCCACGTTTACTGCTGCATCAGCCTACAAACACTCAACTAGAGTATTGTAAAGAAATGATATAATTATTCAGCAGACGAAGGGAAAATCAATTTCCAGCAGAACCTCGACAATGCACATTGTTGAGAAGGGCAGAAGTTTGCCTGCCAAGCTCCGTTGGTTAAATCTCTCCCCTGAGTTGTAGCCAATGTGTCTGTGTATGGTTGGCCCTGCCTGTCCAAGTGTCAGAATGCTGCTCATGGCAGAAGCTAATCACAACACCTGTTTAGAAGAGATTACAGCAGGATCCGCCAGAGTACTAAAAGGCTATTTGCGTTATTAAACCTGAAGTGACTGTCCAGGCTGTGACAGCCAAATGCACACGGGGATATGAGCAGCCAAAGAAGAATGGATTGCACGTCCAAAATAAGATGTGTGTATGCGTGTGTGTGTGTGTGTGTGTGTGTGTGTGTGTGTGTGTGTGTGCTACCTGAGCTATTTGAGCAATAATAACTGTTTGACTTATGGAGCTTCAAAGAGAAAGAGATGTTAATGTTATTTCATCCCTCAACATGGAAAATAAATGACAAAGCCAGACATACTCTTCCGTCACTTTTTCTCTCTCCCCACCAGTGAATGAATTTAAAACAGCTCAAGAAGTGTGCAGGACCCTGCATCCTCCTCCCTCTGGCAGCCTTCCTTGGCAAATCAAAGAATTGTCAGTTTGATATTTATAGATGAAGTTCCTGTGAGTGAAAAACGAGAAACCACTCTTTCTTTCAAATCCTCTCCCAACACACTGATGGTGACTCTGTTGGACTTCAGAAACCTTAGGCCTGTTGTAAAAATGGCAGTATGCTGTGAGTCAGGCCCTCCTGGCTGGCTACCTCAGCAACTGTTGGTGGGTTGTGGAGAACAGGCCAAGCGCCGCAGGTACACTTTGACAACAGGACAGTCTACCAGGGTTAGGGTCAGGACACTTGTGCGGTGTCACTGGATTTAAAAAGATCTGAATGGTGGAAAAACACCAAGAGGTTGGAAGATGAAGGTGATCCTTTGTACCGTTGTTCTTCCTGACTATAAAGAAGATACAGCACTGGCTTACCTTATTTTTGATTAAAAATAAGGTAAGCAATTAAAAAAATTGCTTACTTTATTATACATTTTGTTACAAAATGTATAATAGCCAATAACTTGAATTCTTACTGTAATTTGAGGCAGGTGGAAGTGTCAAGATTTATTTATTTTCTTTACAAGAAAACCATTGAAAACACTGGCAGACAAGTCAAATGCATCCAGGCTATGTCTCTGCTTTGGAGGCCTAGAGTCAATAAATGATTGTCCACTCTTCTTTCCAAAAAGTTCAAGGTCAGTCAGTTTTATGACTCTAATACAGATTCTCCATTGGATTTAAAGCTGGACTTTAAATAACTTTAAAATACATAAATATGCTGCCATTTAAACCCTTTCATTGTAGCTGTGGTTTTATGTTCTGGGTCAATGTCCTACTGGAAGAAGAACCTCTGGCATGGCCACAAATCTTTTACAGCCTCTAACAGGTTTTGCTCTGAGTTTAGTTTCATCCATCTTCCCATAAACTTTGACCAACTTCCCTGCAGCAGAAACACAGCCATAGAGACTGAAGTATGCTACACACGGCATTTTGCATGAAGGCCAAAATGTTCAATTTTGGTCTAAAATGATAAAGTATCCTCCTGCAGATGTTTGCTGTGTTCTCTGCATGGTCTGTGTCAAACTTTAACCTGTCTTTCACAGGTTGTCACAGGGGTGTCAAACTCCAG